GAGTGAGTGAGTGAGTGAGTGTGTGAGTGTGTGTGTGTGCATGTATGTGTGTGTGTGTGTGTGTGTGTGTGTGTGTGTGTGTGTGTGTGTGTGTGTGTGTGTGTGTGTGTGTGTGTGTGTGTACATACATACATATTTATATATATTTACATACATTTATATACATAAATATATAAACACATTTAGCTAAGCATACGCATTATATATGCATAAATGCCTATGACAGCGTGTGTGTATGCATGTATGTGTGCGTATGTGCGTGTGTAGGTACGTCCCCCCCCCACCCCCCAGGCGTCGCCGGCAACGCCAGGTGTACCACGAGCCAAGGGGCCTCTCGCTGCTAAGGGCACTCTTTTCCCCGAGTTTTTTCCCCGCGGCTCCTCCCCCTCCTCCCTATCTCCCACCTCCTCCTCCCACTCCCTTTTCCTCCCCTTCCTACCTCTCCCTCTCCCTCTCCTCCTCCTCCTCCTCCTCCGTGGCGCTTGGCCAGCTCTCTCTCTCTCTCTCTCTCTCGATCTGTTTCTCTTTCTCCCTCTCATATGGGTTCTTGGGATTATTTCGTTGTTTCTGACATTTTTTCTCGCTTGTGTATTCTGGTCATGTCTTTTGTTTAATTATCTTTCTATTTTTTTCCTACTCTTTATCTCTTCCACCTCCCTTTCTCCCCCCCCCCCCATTCTCTCTCTCTCTCTCTCTCTCTCTCTCTCTCTCCCTCTCTTACTCTCCCCTTCTCTCTTACTAAATACGTGATCTCCGTCAACCAATCATCTCCGTTCGTAAAAATAAGACACCAAGTTGGAAAAATATGAAACACTCATTCACACGTAATTCATCGCAACCAATTAATAAATCGCGCCAGATCTATCACATATTTCTATATTTGATTATGATAATTGAAAAGCTAACTGAATACGAATTTGAGGTAAAACGCGCCATTAACTAAAAAAAAAAAAAAAAAAAAAAAAAAATAATAATAATAAAATGAATAAATAAAAAAGTTTCCGAAGATGGCACACCTGTAGTCCAAAATAACTTGTCCCAAAAGTGATCATTCCCCCCTCACTATTAAGAGCTTTTACGATAACGATAATAATAACAATATTGATAAACAATGGATTATTATATGCAAGTTAGACATATACTCACGCCCTAAATCGTGTTCATTATTTAGATAAGCTGATAAAAAAGGCGTCACGTGACTTCCCAAACGAAAGTATAAATAACTCTCGCCAAAAACAGTATCCATGACGTCATCAACGAAAATAAAAATGGCGGGTAACTCTAATGTATTTTTAATGCCATATACTCATGAAAATACGTCTACTGCTATTGCTATTTACGACAAAAGAGACCATTACTATTACTGATAATAAGAATACTCAAAAACGATCAGTAACTATCGATAAAATAAAAAATATTTCCCATGCAATATATGTGGCGATAGCAGTCATCAAAATAGTAATAACAATGGGTATTGAAAATTAATTTTTTTATTGTAAAACCTTCTTATGCAATGCAAGACGAAAATAAGAAACCGTCATATCTCAAAGTGTCACGACGATGACAATTTGCATAAACATTCGACTGAGTCAACGGACTTCCTGGGTGAAATAAACAAATAAACAAAAAAACTATGACACATACTAGCTAACATTCCTTTTATTAAAGGTATTCCTGATCTCGCTCTTAAAATCCCAACTGCACAGATAAATGTTTTAGCGTTGAGCATTCTGCCATGCGCGATCGCCGCCATGCATTCCTCGTCTGACGTCACACATACTACTGTGACGTCATTCCGGGGACACCTGGTTAAGTCTACGGGGATTCTGCGCGCGATTTCACTTCATTCCGGGAAGGGAGGACTATTTTCGATTCTTGACGCAATCGTTGCAATGCGACAGAGGATAATGAATGAAGTAACAAAAAAATACAAGTCGAAAACAGAAAGAAAAATGAAGATGAAGAACGTACAGAGAAAGAAGAGAAAAGAGAAAAAACAATATATCCCATGAACGAAAGAAAAAAAAAACATAACTTGGGAGAAAATCGAGTAAAAATGACAAGTCAGAATACAATTTATCCCCTTATCGCATTGCAGCTAAACTGACATAAAATAAATGTACAACTGTAGGTACGCACCAGCACATATAAGCGTAACTAAATATATGCAGTTACGCATGATACGATAATACAGTATCATTGGAAAATAAAGTGACAGAAAAAACGGGGGAAAAAAAGTCCACACACATATATACATACATACATACGGATACATATATACATATCTCCCCCTGTACATACATACATACATACATACACATACATATATACACATACCCCCCTGCACATACATACATACATCTCCATCTGCACATACATATCTCCCCCTGCACATACATACATATATATACATATCCCCCTACACACACATGCATACGTATACATATACATATATATCCCCCTGCACATACAGACATACATACATACATACGGATACATATATACATATCTCCCCCTGTACATACATACATACATACACATACATATATACACATACCCCCCTGCACATACATACATACATACATACACATACATATATACACATACCCCCCTGCACATACAACCTATACCTATCCACATCTCCTCCTCCTCCTCCTCCTCCTCCTCCTCCTCCTCCTCCTCCTCCTCCTCCTCCTCCTCCTCCTCCTCCTCCTCCTCCTCCTCCTCCTCCTCCTCCTCCTCCTCCTCCTCCTCCTCCTCCTCCTCCTCCTCCTCCTCCTCCTCCTCCTCCTCCTCCTCCTCCTCCTCCTCCTCCTCCTCCTCCTCCTCCTCCTCCTCCTCCTCCTCCTCCTCCTCCTCCTCCTCCTCCTCCTCCTCCTCCTCCTCCTCCTCCTCCTCCTCCTCCTCCTCCTCCTCCTCCTCCTCCTCCTCCTCCTCCTCCTCCTCCTCCTCCTCCTCCTCCTCCTCCTCCTCCTCCTCCTCCTCCTCCTCCTCCTCCTCCTCCTCCTCCTCCTCCTCCTCCTCCTCCTCCTCCTCCTCCTCCTCCTCCTCCTCCTCCTCCTCCTCCTCCTCCTCCTCCTCCTCCTCCTCCTCCTCCTCCTCCTCCTCCTCCTCCTCCTCCTCCTCCTCCTCCTCCTCCTCCTCCTCCTCCTCCTCCTCCTCCTCCTCCTCCTCCTCCTCCTCCTCCTCCTCCTCCTCCTCCTCCTCCTCCTCCTCCTCCTCCTCCTCCTCCTCCTCCTCCTCCTCCTCCTCCTCCTCCTCCTCCTCCTCCTCCTCCTCCTCCTCCTCCTCCTCCTCCTCCTCCTCCTCCTCCTCCTCCTCCTCCTCCTCCTCCTCCTCCTCCTCCTCCTCCTCCTCCTCCTCCTCCTCCTCCTCCTCCTCCTCCTCCTCCTCCTCCTCCTCCTCCTCCTCCTCCTCCTCCTCCTCCTCCTCCTCCTCCTCCTCCTCCTCCTCCTCCTCCTCCTCCTCCTCCTCCTCCTCCTCCTCCTCCTCCTCCTCCTCCTCCTCCTCCTCCTCCTCCTCCTCCTCCTCCTCCTCCTCCTCCTCCTCCTCCTCCTCCTCCTCCTCCTCCTCCTCCTCCTCCTCCTCCTCCTCCTCCTCCTCCTCCTCCTCCTCCTCCTCCTCCTCCTCCCCCTCCCCCTATCCCATACGCTTCCCTCCCTCCCTCCCTCCCTCCCTCCCTCCCCTCCCCCTATCCATACGCTTCCCTCCCTCCCTCCCCCTCCCCCTATCCCATACGCTTCCCTCCTCCCTCCCCCTCCCCCTATCCATACGCTTCCCTCCCTCCCCTCCCCCTATCCCATACGCTTCCCTCCCTCCCTCCCTCCCTCCCTCCCCCTCCCCCTATCCATACGCTTCCCTCCCTCCCCTCCCCCTATCCCATACGCTTCCCTCCCTCCCCTCCCCCTATCCATACGCTTCCCTCCCTCCCCTCCCCCTATCCATACGCTTCCCTCCCTCCCCTCCCCCTATCCCATACGCTTCCCTCCTCCCTCCCCCTCCCCCTATCCCATACGCTTCCCTCCCTCCCCTCCCCCTATCCATACGCTTCCCTCCCTCCCTCCCCCTCCCCCTATCCATACGCTTCCCTCCCTCCCCTCCCCCTATCCATACGCTTCCCTCCTCCCTCCCCCTCCCCCTATCCCATACGCTTCCCTCCCTCCCTCCACCTCCCCCTATCCCATACGCTTCCCTCCCTCCCTCCACCTCCCCCTATCCCATACGCTTCCCTCCTCCCTCCCCCTCCCCCTATCCATACGCTTCCCTCCTCCCTCCCCCTCCCCCTATCCCATACGCTTCCCTCCCTCCCTCCACCTCCCCCTATCCCATACGCTTCCCTCCTCCCTCCCCCTCCCCCTATCCCATACGCTTCCCTCCTCCCTCCCCCTCCCCCTATCCCATACGCTTCCCTCCTCCCTCCCCCTCCCCCTATCCCATACGCTTCCCTCCCTCCCTCCCTCCCTCCCTCCCTCCCTCCCTCCCCTCCCCCTATCCATACGCTTCCCTCCTCCCTCCCCCTCCCCCTATCCCATACGCTTCCCTCCCTCCCTCCCCTCCCCCTATCCCATACGCTTCCCTCCCTCCCTCCCCCTCCCCCTATCCCATACGCTTCCCTCCCTCCCCTCCCCCTATCCATACGCTTCCCTCCTCCCTCCCCCTCCCCCTATCCCATACGCTTCCCTCCCTCCCCTCCCCCTATCCCATACGCTTCCCTCCCTCCCTCCCCCTCCCCCTATCCCATACGCTTCCCTCCCTCCCTCCCCCTCCCCCTATCCCATACGCTTCCCTCCCTCCCTCCCTCCCCTCCCCCTATCCCATATGCTTCCCTCCCTCCCTCCCTCCCCCTCCCCCTATCCCATACGCTTCCCTCCCTCCCTCCCCCCTCCCCCTATCCCATACGCTTCCCTCCCTCCCTCCCCCTCCCCCTACCCCATACGCTCCCCCCCCCCCCCACATCCAGAACCTCCCCCCCCCCACAATCAAAACCCCCTCGCACTCACGGTGAACTGGAAAGGGCGAGCCGGGAATGTGCATGTCCTGGAACTTGACGGACACGGTGTGGACACCCAGCTCCTTGGGCACGAAGTTGACCCCGTAGAGGCCGTCCTCGACCTCGGACACCATGGCGTCCTCGGTGATGCCCCCGGGAGAGGTCACGGTGGCCGAGAGGTCGAAGGAGGAGATGCCGGGCAGCTTGAAGGTCAGGCGGCACTGAGAGCCAACCTCGGTCAGCGGGACGGCCTCGCGCTGCCGCTTGATGCGCTCCGTCTGTCGGTTCGAGCCCTCGCCCGTCACCTGCAGGGGGGGGGGGGGGGTAGAAGACATTGATTTTTATGACATTCAAGTATTGATATGACAATAAAAAAATATTGATAATGTGACACTGACATTGACAAAGTAACATTGGTTCTTTACTAATAACTTCCGAAAACGATAAAATATGTATCTCACAACAGACTATATACCTTGAAGATTATATACGTTCCATAATCAAGATAAATAACAAGAGAAAACATATAGCTAAAAAAAAAATAATAATAAACAATCGACTGCCCGCCCGTAAATACCAACAGCAACCAAGGCCACCAACCCACCTTAACAGTGAACGGCGACCCAGGAACATGGTTGTCAGCAAACTTGAGGTTGACGATGTAGTAGCCGGGCTCGGTGGGTTTGTAGCCAATGGTGAGAGTGCCGTCTTCGTTGTCCTGTCGCGAAGATAATAAAGATAATGTGATTAAAAAGAATGGTGTAATTTTTTGGTGATTATCGCAAGAATACGAATAAGAGGTAGAAAATAAGGGATAAAAATCATGGGCAAGAATAAGTTCTCAGATTGATTTTTTTTACCAAGATGGTGATGTAATATTTGAATCCCTTCGCTTTAAATAATCTAAAAACACAGCCAATTAGGAAATATGTGTAAACTCAGAGACGTACATAAATAGCATTAGTCACATTTCGACATTTAGACTTCCCTCTAAAAATGAAAATAAAACAATATCACAAAGAACTCCCCCCCCCACAAAAGATGAATGAATAAAACACACTAAGCAGTATTTAAACATACTGAACCCCTAGAAATGAAACCAAAAACCACAAAAGACAACCAAATCCACCGGAACTTTCAGATTACACATTAAACCCCCTTTAACTTAAATCCAGCCTTAACGAAACATTAAACCCTGAAGAAAAAAAATCAATACCTTAATAGACACACTACACCTTGATAAAAAATTAATAACAAAAAAAAAAAACGATAAAAAAACCCCGCGCCAGTCGTCCCTCTCACCTTGCACTGGATGTCGGCCTTGGAGGGGCCCTCGATGGACAGCGACAGACCGCCGTAGCCAGCCTCCCTCGTGTCTATGGTGAACTGGTTCTCCTTGTGGGTCACGCCCTCCTTCAGGGCTTCTCCGGTGATCTGCGGGAGGAGGACACTTGAAGGAAGGACTTGGGGGGGGGGTGGTGGTGGTGATGGTGGTTGAGGTGGTTGTGGTGGTTGTGGTGGTGGTGGTGGTGGTGGTGGCGGTGATGATGGTGGTGACGATGGTGGTGATGATGGTGGTGATGATGGTCGTGATGATGGTGATTGGTGGTGGTGGTGATTGATGGTGATGGTGGTGGTGATTGATGATAACGATGGACGAGGCGAGGATTATGTTGATAATCAACAATTACAGTGATGAGAGCGTGTTTATTGCTGATCTGGGGAGATTTACTGTACTTTTTCTAATCCTGATTTTGGCAACATAACGAACACAGATCAGTGACTGGAAATACCGACGATGATGATAAAATGGTTACCTTTCCACCCCTTATCTGTCCCTTGTACACCCTCCCTCCCCTTGACCTTTCCTGTCCCCCACCCTTGACCTCTCCCGCCCTTACCTTGACCTTGGAGGCGTCACCGACTTCCTTCTCGCCGACGGTGATCTTGAAGGGCGAGTTGGCGATGTGCGTTCCCATGCGCTTCACGGACACCAGGTGCTCGCCGACCTCGCGGGGAGTGAAGGAGATGCCTGCGGGGAACAAGGACGAGGTTAGTCTTTGTTTTTGTTGTTTTTGTTTTTGTTTTTGTTTTTGTTGTTGTTGTTGTTGGTGGTGGTGGTGGTGGTGTTGATGTTATTGCTGTCTGTTGGTTATTTTCTTTGCCCCAGATCATGGTATGGGTGGGAGGGGCATAGAAAATGAAGGAGTTTCCATTTGTATCATTTTTATAAGATATCAGGTCAAATGCATAATCACACAACATACTCCAGGACCAAACATAAATTAAAAAAAAAAAGACAGAAAAAAGGACAAAAAAAAAGTGACACCACAACCCACCGAGATGTCCGTTGGGCAGCTTCTTGAGGAAGCACGGCTCCTCGAGGCCGGACGGCGCCTGGATCGAAGCATTGAGGGTCTTGATGTCGGTGTCGGAGATCTTGCCCGGGAAGCTGACCTCGGACTGCGAGCCCACGCTGATCTGGTTCCTCTTGCGCCCCTCGCCGGTCACCTTGACGGAATACGGCGACCCCTTAATGTGCTTGTCCGCGAACTTGACCGAGACCTTGTACTCGCCGGGGGAGGTGGGCAGGTAGGAGACGGACACGGTGCCGTCCTTGTTGTCGTGGCAGGAGATCTCCGCCTTGCTCGGTCCTTCCACGGCTAGGGAGAGACCGCCTGCTTCCGGGGGGGCCGCCGCGGGGGAGGGGGGGGCGCACAGGGGGAGTGGCGGGAGGTGGGGGAGTGGTGGAGGGGGGAGGGGGGAGAAAAAAGAGAGACGAGGTGGCGGAGAGGCCGTTAGTGGTTTGAATTGCATTTTATTTTTGTTGTTGGAAATATATATATTTTTTTAAATAGGAGAGAATGAGGTTTATTTTCTTAATTCCTAAAAGTATAAATTAGGTACCTTAATTTTCCTATCAAAATTTTTCAACAAATTTAAAAGAAGGAAAGGGTTGTTAACGGACTGAGGTGATTTTCTTTTATAAGTTTCAGCATGTAAAAGTAGTCAACTTATATTAAATTTACTGATATTATATATACCAAGTAATGAAAATAATCAAAATCAAAGTAAATAATCAATCACTGCATTAGTGGGTGAAGCCAGAAAAAAAAAACACAATTTGTTAGTTGTAATTTTGCTTCACTCAACACACAAGAATTAAGCTTTATTTCATCCTTTTTTTCGATATCTATGGGCACCTGGCAACTGACATTTATGCAAATGGGTTTCTTCTTTTAAGCATAAACCCTTTCCAATATTATGTCATGATCTCTTTCTCTAGTATTTTTTTTTGTCTTTCAGTTTCTCTCCATTGTAGAAAAAAAAAAAAAAATTTGAATATTTGAATATTTTTTTTTGCAATAACAGTTTTTCAACGTGTACAAATGTCTTTCAATATCTTTCCGTATTATTATGAGTATAAACCTTTTATGAAAGCAAAATAGTGATGTATTTATCAACTGCAAAATATGTAAGTAATGCCATTGATACTCGAATTATACAACACACGTGAAATATTAGAAAATAATTTCAATAATTATTATTACTTCTTTGGACATGCCCATATATTTAAACAGATTAGTCTTAGTTACAGCCGACTGAAATTCCTACTTCAGGTTTCAGTCTTAGAGCATTATTTAAAGAAAGAACATATAGGAAATTTTTGCCATGTAACAACCACTCAAAGCTTGAAATCGTGAGCATGGAGAACAGTTAGAACAAAAATTCGTAACAGACAGAAGAACGCGTGAAGAACACTAACCATGGACTTGTAGTAACGATCACATAATGTAGATAAAATAAACTTGATGAGTTATGAATCTTTTTTTTTTTTTAAATGGGGAACTAAAATAAAAAATGTGTCAAAAGAAATTTATGATAAACCGAAAAAATAATAAAATAACTGACACTTCATTGGAGGAATGTGAAGGGCAGGGCGAGAGGGGGGGGGGCGAAAATACCCTGTTTCATAAGGATATATCGCTTCTTTAGAAATAAAAGAAATGGACGAATAAACGAAAAATGATACTGATTACACATGGCAGAGAAACGGTTATTGGCAAATCTTTTATCAAGTTTTTTGTAGATGCATTCCATATGCATTACTATTAACAAACGTTTGGATTTAATAATTTTCTACAGTACAATTTATTTTTGGATTTAGAACATCTGACTTTTTTTTTGACATGTGGTTTTAATAATCAGAATACAGTCGGTCCTCAACATAGGCAATTTAAGATTTCACAAATTTGATAATCCATGAAGTTTGTTCCATATCTAAATGTGCAGAAAACAAAATTAAATCAAAACGTACAGTCACAAGAATCTCAAAAATAAACTGAAACATGATGAATATCCCTTTACAAACAACAGTAAAAAAGAACTATTTTTCATGCAACATTTTTGTACTTTCCATCTATTGTTGATATTTCCAACTTTGCAGGATTCAGTACATTTAAAACTTGATCTGCAATCCACTTTGACTAAGACTTTGCAACTAATCACACTAGAGGAAATGTAGTCAGTTACAGTACGTAATGAATGTTTACAGTATACATTCATGAACCTTCAATGGGTTTTGCAATGTAATCCTAATGTTGAGGCCCGACTGCAATATAATTTGGAGAGGAACAGAAAGCAAAAGAAATAAAAATTGTAAAATGTATGAAATAGCAAATAAATATATGATCACCAATGCCACTTATACATATGTATGTAGCTATATGTATATACATATATACATATACACATATATATATACACATACATACATATATATATATATATATATATATATATATATATATATATATATATATATACATATATATATATATATATATATATATATATATATATATATATATATATATATATATATATATATATATATATATATATATATATATATATATATATATATATATATATATATATATATATATATATATATACACCTAATAACAAAAATCATATTGTATATGAGAACTTACAATCAATAATAACCATGATATGACCTATCACAAAAAACAAAAACAAAAGTAGGGCTCCATTGGGGAAAAATGAAATGAAATTGTGGAAGATGAAGAAGGGTGAGAAATAAGGGCAAAAGGAAAAAACAAAAAACAAAAAAACAAAATAAAAAACAAAAACAAAAACAAAAACAAAAAAACAGGAGAAAAGAACCATTATGGAGAAAATAAACTTTATAATAACAAACTGTGCAATGTTTTCATATGCAAACCTTCATTTACTCCTGCACGATGCTTGAAAATGAGAAGAAAAACCAAATAATAATGTACATAAAAGTTTTTTTTGTGATCAGGTAGAAAAAAAAAAAACATTCTGGCCAAAAATATGTACATAAA